ATACTCAACCCTGCGGGGAGGCGGGAGGTGCAACCCCCATTCCTGGAGGGAGGCTAGGACCGCAACTGCAGCCCAAGCCTCCTAAGCCTCCTCCCCCTGCCCACCACCATTGGCAGCGTTTGTGGGTCTGGCACGGTGGGGCAGTGAGCACCAACGGACGGAGTGGGCTGGCTCCAAGGCCCTCCCAGGAGATGTGCAGCCTGGAGGAGTCGTGTGCAGTGTGTGTGGGGAGGAATGAGTGTTTCTATAAAAGGAAGGCTGGGTGAATGCACAGGCTCCACGAACAGCGAATTTACTCATTTGGACGACTAGCTGGGCGTTGGGCGCAGTGCCGTGGGAGGACATCTGCTTCCCTCCCCGGGACCTGACTCTCAGTTCACACCCACAGGACAGGTGAAGCTGATAGAGGGGCCCCAGGTGGGGGCCCAGCAGCACCCCCAGGGATTTGGGGTCAGCCCCAATTCCAGTGCTCCTCCTTCCCCACTTCTAGGGATCCTTGAGGTCCCAAGGCCACCCCAGGGGACACACTTCCCTCCCTCCAGCCTCCTGCCACTTGGGACAGCCCACCCCTACCTTCTTCCAACCCCTCAGCCTGGGGCTCTGCTCCTCTCACCAGGCCACCCCCACTTTGCTGGCTTCTTCCCTCCATCTGTGTGATGTGACTTTGCCATACTCTGAAACCCATCCCTGACACCTGTACCCGAGGTAGCCTGCTGGCTCTCCTCTTCCCATTCATTTGTCACCTCCACAGTTGCCAAAGGGCTCCTCACCCCAGGCCTTATCAGACCAGATGGGATGGCAGCTCTCCTCCCTGATACTACCCCCAGCGCTGTAACCCCAAGCTCTGGCACTTTAGGGCCCCCACGCCCACCTTTAAGTCACAGGCAAAAGAGAAGGAAGCATATTGGTAAGAACTTTATTCATGGTCACAGAACACCCACAGGAGGGGAAGGACCTGCTGGCAGGGAATATCCGTGACTGGTCAGTTTCTGAAGAAGGTGAGATGCTTGTCCTGGGGTACAGGAAGGAGGGACATGTGCTTGGGGGTTTTTGGTATGCACTGCCAGCTATGGCCCCCCTGTAGAGAACAAGGCACAGCCTTGTCTGCCTGTCCTGGAGGTCAGGCAGCTTGTGAGTGGAGTCCCGTAACCCCCACCAAACCCTTGTACAATGGGGTTTTCCACTTCTGAGACCCCCAAAGTATGGGGTATCTGAGGCCCACCCCACAGCTGAGCACCATCACCTTCCCCCATGACGGGATCCTCAGAACGAGCCAGTGTCAGCTGAGCAGAACCAAGGCCCAGAGCAGGGGGCCTGGTGTGCCTGCTGCCCACCATGCCCCTCACCTAGCAGGGGTGGCCACCCGACCCAGAAGCTCCAGGGGCACCAGGAAGGGGTTCAGAGGGCAGATGCCAGCTGCTTGCCAGGGCGATTTCAGTTTGCTGCGCTCTGCCTTCTCAGGGGCTGGGCGGGTCTCCTCTGGTGCCTTGGAGGCAGCCCCGTCCCCCTCAGCCGCAGGGTCCAGGCTCCCTCCAGTGGGGCTGGGCTGGGGGGCTGTCAGGTGTAGGTATGTCTCCATCATATGTTCAACCAGGGCTGTGCAGGGCAGGAGAGGCAGCTCTTCTGGAAGTGACATGAGCAGGTCGAGGACCACAGCGGACTCTAGCGATGGATGGAGGAGAGGGATAAGGGGACACCCTTGCCTGCCACCAGGAACCCTGATCCCTCTGCCCCTGCCCCCTCTGTCATCCTTCTCACCAGCTGCTGAGAGCTCAGGCCCGCGGCCACTGCGGGAGAAAGAGGACAGGTACTTGTAGATCTTCTCAAAGTCCACAGTGAAGTCTTCAGTGGAAGGACCAGCCAAGGACTCAGGAGGTTTCTCAGGGGCAGGGCCAGAAGTGTCTGGGGCCGAGCTAGGTGCCTTGGGGGCGGAGCTAGGTGTCTCAGGGGTAGCGTCTTCCTGCCCTCCAGGGACGCTCAGGATTAGTGGCTTTCCATGGGCCTTCGTGGGCTTGGGGGGCCTGGAGTGTAGTAGGGTGATGGGTTCCGTGGCCGCGATGGTGAGCACCTGGCAGGCAGAGCAATCAGGTAGGAAGGGGAGCTGGGAAGTCCTCCGACCATCTACACATTCCCCCATCTTCCCTGCCACTGTAAGACAGACTGCTTAGACAGGAGATGGCCTCAGAGCCAGGGACACTGAGGATCCAGGTGTCCAGTGACTGATGGACGCCACAGAGCTGGCAACGGGAAGGGCCCTGGACCCAGGTTCACAAGATTTGGCTCATGTGACCCTGTCCTCCGGGATACCCTGACCTGCCTGGGGGATGGCTGTACCTGTGAGAAAGCCACTGCCAGGGCTTCCTCAAGTGGCCCTGTTATCTTCTCAGCCAGATCCGTCCAGACCTGAGTGAAGCCAGAGGTACAAGGTCAGCCCAGAGATCAGCCTGCAGGGATCCCCCAAGCCCTGCCCCTCCAGGGGATACCCTAACCAGTTTATCCCTGCAACTCCCACCTACCCCCCGGGGCTGGCCCTGGGCAGCCTCGTCCTGTTCATCTGCCTCACCTCTATGGGAGCTGGGGGCTGTGCCTCCTGGCGCCTTGGTCCCAGAAGGCCACCCGGATGCAGCTTCTGAATGGCCTCCCGGGCTACACGGCCCTTGAGCTGTTGGAGGAAGACCCGGATCTAGGAAGGACAGCAGAGGAGGGCGAATGAGGCTTTGTGAGCTCAGGGCTGCAGCACAAAAGCGAAAGCCCAGTGCCTTGCCTGCTCTGGGCCCAGCCACTGCGTCTTACCTCCTGCTAGTCCCAGTGACTGCCCAGGCCCCAGCCCCACCCAGAGTGTGACCAGCTTCCTAAGAAAGGTGTAAGCCCCAGGCCAGTTCCGGCTCCTCCCCGCAGCCAGGACTCAACCCTATGCTGACTACTACCCTACTCAACTCCCTTCTTTGTTCCCTCTGCACCATTCCCTGACTCTCACTTCAACCTTGTACCAGGTCCAACAACGTAAGTTGCTGCATCTTACCCCCAGTTCATTCCGCCCCTAAGTTTCGCTGTCGACCCACCCACGCCTTACTCCCGGGCTAGCCCTGCCTTGAAGGCTGGCGCTCATCCCGCCCACGCCCCGCCCACGCCTTACTCCCAAACGGGCTCTGCCCTTACGTCTTGTTCTCATCCCGCCCACGCCCCGCCCCAGCACTGTCCCGCCCCTCTGTCTCGCTTATGCCCCGCCCACATCTTACTCTAAAGCTCGCCACAACCTTAAGGCTTGCTATCACCCCGCCCCCGCCCCGCCCCCAAACTCACCCACCCACAGTCCAACCCTCAGCGGCACGCACGCCCAGCCCCCAGCATCGCCCCGCCCCTCCGCTTCACTTATACTCCGCCCCTTAGGCCTCGTTCTCTTCCCGCCCACGCACCGCCCAAACTCACCCACTGACGTCCCCCCCACCTCAGCCCCACGCCCCACGCCCCACCCCCGACCGCTTACATTCCTGGCCCCGCCCCGCTGGCGCCTGCTACAGCCTCTCCCACTCCCCGCCCCACCCTAGCCCCGCCTCCAGCTTCGCTCCGGTCCCCAGAACTGCATCTCACCTCAGCCTCGCTCCGTCCTCGCAGCTCCCGGGCCAGCTCAGCGGCCTCCGGCTCCGGCTGGCCCTGCCGCGCCTGCAAGAGTCGCACTAGCTGCCGCTTCTCACGAGCGCTCCAGGTCGCGGGGCCGGTCACCTCACCCAGATAGCGCGCCGGGGCCGCTCGCCGCCTGGGAGGTGGCTTCATGCCGATCACGAAGATGCAGGCGCTCTGAAGCGGCTTCCCCAGTGGGCGGAGCTACGGGGGCCGCCGAGGCCACAAAGCATCGCGCAGAGGCGAACGCACGTGGGGGCGTGGCTCCGCGTTTGTAGGGCCCCGGGACCCGCCCCAATGAAGGTGAAGGGGAAATTGGCACCAGAACTGGGGCGGGGCGAAGGAGACCCTCAGCCTGCACCTTATCTCATTAATGAAGTACAGACAACACCTTGGATCTCGTGCCTCCCTCTGATGCTGGACTAGCTCATGAAGTACTACTGTGTGCTTTGCTTCTCGCAGAGTAAAGGTCAAGTCGTGGTCAAGAGCCTGGGCTCTGGGATTAGACAGGCCTGGGGACTTTGGGCAAGTGATTTAGCCTTGCCGAGCCTCAGTTTCTTCCTCTGTAAACTAGGGCTGGTAGTCAGTCCCACTCTTGTCTATGAAGAGGAGAGTGAAGCTCAGGCAGGAGGGATTTAAGGAGCTTTAGACTAGACTGACAGTCTAAGAAGAGGGCAAAGTCCAGACCAGGAGACTGGAGCAGAAGCAGAAGGTCGAGGTTGAGCGAGGGCAGGGTCCAGGCGGGGCCGGTGGAGAGCGGAGAAGGCCTGGCTTGAAGAAGATCACAGGAGGCCGATGGGCAGGTGTCCGGGTAAGGAGAGGAGGGAATGGGGAGGGCTTATTTTAAAACTTAGGCTTGTGGGGTTGGGTGTCTCTTGCTTTTCTCTTTTTTTTTTTTTTTTTTTTTTAGACGGCGTTTTGCTCTTGTTGCCCAGGCTGGAGTGCAATGGCGCGATCTCTCGGCTCACTGCAACCTCCGCCTCCCAGGTTCAAGTGATTATCCTGCATCAGCCTCCGAATTAGCTGGGATTACAGGCACGCCCTGCTAAATTTTTGTGTTTTTTTAGTAGGGGTGGGGTTTCACCATGTCGGCCAGGCTGGTCCTGACCTCAAGTGATCCACCCATTTTGGCCTCCCAATGTGCTGGGATACAGGTGTGAGCCACAGCGCCCGGCCGGATGTCGCTTTCTGATTGAGACAAAACGCCCTTGAGGGTCCCATGGCCCTTGAGTGCACACGGGTATGTGGGCGTATGGCTCCCCGCCACAGGCTCCGCCCCTCTGTCAGGATTTCTCAGGAATCCCCCCAAGTCCTGCTCCCAGCTTTCTCCCCAAGCCTTCCCACCCGTTCTCCACCCCACACCTTGCGCACTCGCCAGAACTTAGTCTAGAGGTTTATTTTGAGCACAGGTGGGAGGAACAGGGGGAGGAGAGAAGCCCAGGGGTCGTGGCCCCATCGGGTCCGAGGTCCAGGGAGGTGGGTCCGGTCCTGTTGGTCTTGGTCTCGAAGCGGTAGCTGGGTGCATCACTGGGTCATGTTGGGGGCGCATCATCCCTGGGAGGGGAGGCTGAAGTTCAGCGATGGAGAAGACGCTACACGGGCCACCCCCTTCCCAGCAGACCACTGGCCTCTTCCATCAGTTTGTATGTCCGGTGAGAGTGGGGGCCAGGTCTGATTGCTGAGTTCTCCTCACCTACTGCCTCTCCTCACCTAATGCCCTTGGCTCGACCCAGAGTCCGCGCCAGCTGGGGGTGACCCACTGCCTGAGTTCGAATTCGAGTTCCACCCAGTGTTGTGACTTTTGACAAGTTATTTAATTCAGAGAATGCCTCATTTTTCTCCTACAATGGGGATTATAATAGTGTCCACCTGGAGGTTGTTAAGGGAATTCGGTTAGTTCATAGGCGTACCATCTACAACTGTGCTTGGGGGCCGGTGCGGTGGCTCACACCTGTAATCCCAGCACTTTGGGAGGCGAGTGGATCACCTGAGGTCGGGAGTTCGAGACCAGCCTGACCAACATGGAGACCACCAAACCCCGTCTCTACTAAAAATACAAAATAAGCCAGGCGTGGTGGCACATGCCTGTAATCCCATCTACTCGGGAGGCTGACGCAGGAGAATAACTTGAACCCGGGAGGCGGAGGTTGCAGTGAGCTGAGATCGCACCACTGCACTCTAGCCTGGGCAACAAGAGCAAAACTTAGTCTCCCAAAAAAAGAGGAGGCTGAGGCAGGCGGATCATGAGGTCAAGAGATCGAGACCATCCTGGCCAACATGGTGAAACCCCATCTCTACTAAAAATACAAAAATTGTGGCCGGGCGCGGTGGCTCAAGCCTGTAATCCCAGCACTTTGGGAGGCCGAGGCGGGTGGATCACAAGGTCAAGAGATCGAGACCATCCTGGTCAACATGGTGAAACGCCGTCTCTACTAAAAATACAAAAAACATTAGCTGGGCATGGTGGCGCGTGCCTGTAATCTCAGCTACTCAGGAGGCTGAGGCAGGAGAATTGCCTGAACCCAGGAGGCGGAGGTTGCGGTGAGCCGAGATCGCGCCATTGCACTCCAGCCTGGGTAACATGAGTGAAACTCCGTCTCAAAAACAAAAAAAAAAAAAAAAAAAAAAAAAAAATACAAAAATTAGCTGGCCTGTAATCCCAGCTACTTGGGAGGCTGAGGCAGGAGAATTGCTTGAACCTGAGAGGCAGAGGTTGCAGTGAGCCGAGATCGCGCCACTGCACTCCAAACTGGCGCCTGACAACAGAGCAAGACTCTGTCTCAAAAAAAAGGGGGGAGGGGACTGTCATCTCCTCCCTCCCCCCAGCTCCCCCCACCTCCATACCTACCTTCCTCTTTAGGGCCTCCTGGAATGGGGGCCGCTGGGCGAGGCTCTCGTGGGCGCGCCGGGGGCTAGGGGCGCTGTAAGGGAGAGGCGGGCTGCAGAAGCGCTGCCGCGCGCCAGGCCAGACTAAGGGCGACCCCTGGGTGCTGCTGCGGACTTCGCAGAGGCAGGTCTGGCTAAGGCTGATCAGGCCCTGCACGAGGGATCGCGGCCGCCCCCTGTCTCGACGCACCGGAATAGGCTGCGGGCATGGCGGAGGTCTGTACCTGAGTGCGCGCAGACGAGGCCCAGCCCGGCGGCCAGCGCGGCGCCCAACACAAAGGCTGCCAACACAAGTGCCACCACCGGCGCGGGCTCCAGGGCCGCGGGGGCCGGTGCGGGAGGTTCAGGGCGCACGGGGCGGCCAGGGATGATCTTGGGCGGCCCTGTGGGAAGTGCCACGCTGAGATTGGGTCCAGGATCCAGGTGTCCTTCCCACCCCGCACTGCCGCCCCACCGTCCCCTGCGGAGGAGGACTGCGTGCTCACTGGGGGGCGGCCGCGGCACGGTGACCACGATAGGCTGCGTCAGCGTATGCAGGTGGGGGCCGTAGGCAGCCAGGCTCTCGACGCTGCCACCGCCGGCGCACGCCTCGTCCTGAGGCAGACACTGGGGGAGAGGGAGGTGGGGAACAACCGGCGACATCAGGGCCCCGGGATCTTGGCTCTTGTCCCTAGTGCCCCCGAGAGAGACCTGAGTCCAGCTCTCCACCACAGCCAGGATGGAACCCCTGGAAATCCGGCTGCTTAGAGGTCCCTGCGCCCAGTGGCTATGCATACAAGTGGCTAGCAACCCAGCCCCACAAGATCACATGGTCTGTCTCTCCCACGACCTAGCATGTGAGACCCAACCCCAGGTTCCCAGAAATGTGTCCCCTTAGTGGCTTTCTGCATCCAGCCCCCAGCTCTGAAGGATCCCAGAGCCGTCCATGAGGGAACTCAGTGCCCACACTGTCCCCAGAGAAACTGTTGACAGAGATGGGCCACTATGCCCAACCCCTCCACCCCCACCCCCAGATTCTCAGACCCGGAGGGTATCCTCTCTCCACCACCAAACTGGCTTGTGCCCAGCTCCCGAGGGGCCCCGGCACCCAGATTCCAGGCTCTGCGCCTGCGCACCCGCAATGGCGGCGGGGGAGTCAGGGGTGCAGGTGTCCGGCGGACTCTCCGGAGGCGGCGGCAGCGGCTCAGCTGGCAGTGCAGGAACTGCACTGAGGCGTTGAAGACTGGGCGCAGGCGGAAGCTGAAGCGCACAGGGCGGGTGGAACCCGGGCTCGGCGGTGGCGGTGGCGGAAAGGCGACCGAGGCGTCGGCGGGGCAGCCCTCGCGAAGCAGCGCCAGGGCCGGCCCCGGGGCCGGGCGTGAGGACGGCGTCACTGAGCAGCGGTGCAGAGCCAGGCCCCAGCGCTGGGAGGGACGGGCCAATGTCGCCTGGGGGACGAAGGCGCCATCAGAGATCGCCCGTCCCCACCGTCCCCATCCGCCCCTGGTGTCCACGGTTGGTAACCACCTGCACGAACACGCGGCTGTCGGCCGGGACCTCGAGCGGCCCCGCGCGGCGAGGGAAGACATCCTCTGTGTCGGACAGCTTCAGACTGAAGAGGGGTCTGCGCAGCCAGGGGCCGGGCGCCGCGGGGAACTGGGGCGCTGGCAGGGGTAAATGGCGGCCCAGAGGAGAGAGAACGTGCGCTGCCCTTTAGGCCTCTGGGAAAAGTGTCCCGACCACCTCGCCCCCGCCGCCGCCGCCTTTGGAAAAGGGATATGGTTGCGGCAGCGGATTCACCCATGTTGGGCTCTGCCCCACGTTACCCCTGACGGTAATGCGCCCCCTGCCGACCCCAGCGACCCGCACAGCCCAGCAGCTGAGCAGGGTGCAAAGCCGTGCACCCCTAGAGAAGCCTCGGAAGTTGGCAAGGGCCTCCCTGGGGCGGAAGAGAAACAGTGAGGAGCACCAGATGGGGGGATCAGGCTGAGTGAAATGAGAGGCCCCCCACCTTCCCCTTGGCTGCTCTCGGGGACATAGCAGGACCTGCGACTCCCCTTTCTAAGGGTATATAGGTGCTGTCACCAACAGGGAAGGGGAGTGAAGAGGATACCCTCCCTAGAGGCTCTCACAGGCACAGCCAAAGCCCAGCTAAGCCACCAAGATTGGGACTCCAACTTGTCCAGGCTGAGGGTAGTCATGGGGTCCCCTCTTCTCTCCGTGACCCTAAACACACACTGATGTCTGTCTTCAGGAGGTGCTGAGCAGGGTTCTGGTAAAATGGATAATCTCCAAACACAAAAGATCACCTGTACATCACATCCGTTTTTTTTTTTTTTTTTCCCCCCACTCTGAGACAGGGTCTACCTCTGTCCCCCAGGCTGGAGTGCAGTGGTGCAAATACTGCTCACTGCAGTCCTCCAACTCCTGGGCTCCAGCGATCCTCCAACTTCAGCCTCTCGAGTAGCTGTGACCATAGACGCCACCACAGCCATATGGAGTCTATGTTGCCCAGGCTGGTCTGCAACTCCTGGCTTCTCTAAGTGCTAGGATTATAGGCATAACCCCCCGCCTCCATCCCCACTCCCCCCCACCCCAACTCCTGAAGAGCACCTGGCTAGGCTGGCCGCTTCCCACAACCTTGGCCCTCTCTGTGACTGCAGGGAACTTTGCTGAAGTGGGGATGTGAGCCATCCTTGGGATGGGGAGACAGAGGAAGATCCCACCCCACTCCCCTGCCCCCCACCCCCAGGGGGAGGAGGACCAGAGGTCTAGTTGAAAGAGGGTAACGATGGTGGGCACGGTGGCTCACATCTGTAAGCTCGCACTTTAGGTTAAGGCAGGCAGATGGCCTGAAGTCAGGAGTTCCAGACCAGTCTGGCCAATATGGGGAAATGCCATCTCTACTAAAAATACAAAAATTAGCCGGGTGTGCTAACACATGCCTGTAGTCCCACCTACTCAAGAGGTTAAGGCAGGAGAATCACTTGAACATGGGAGGTGGAGGTTGCAGTGAGCAGAGATCATGCGCCACTGCACTCCAGCCTGGGAGACAGAGCAAAATTCCATCTCAAAAAAAAGATAGTGACACAGAGCTAGGAGCATGACAGACCCATCACCTCCCTGCCCATACATACCAGGTGGCCCGCTGGGCACAGTGGTGATCCCCGGGAGTAGGGCCAGCAGCAGCAGCACGGTGCCCAGCATGCTGACTGGCTGAGGTTGGAGTGTTTGGGGCCAGAGCAGACGCACCAGCTGGGCTGCACCAAGGCCCTGAACGTGGGCAGGTGGCCGTCCTTGGCCAGGAAGGAGGCAGGGAGCGGGGGTGGCGCAGACTAAGGGCTGACACCAGAGCCAATGACCAAGGCCTGGGGGGATTAAGGGATCCTCCGCTGCCCGACCTGGGAATAATGGGGGCAGGGGTGTCCCTATGTTGGCTGCTTGATACCTCGCACCCAGCTCCCAAACCTGCCTCAGTCTCCCCTCAATGCAAAGGCCTCATCCACTAGAATGCCCCCCCCCCACACACACACACACCACCCCCTTTCCACCTCGCCCTGCCAGACCCACAACACACCACAGACTGTGGAAGAAAAGGGAGGGGTTTATTCTCAAGCGCCTAAGGGTTTACAAACGAGGGCATTTTGTTTTAAAAAGGGGCAGGGCAACACTAGCAGCCTGAGGAGTCCGCTGGCTGGTAGTCCGCTGGCTGGTGGGCTGGCCTGAGCCGCCCCCAGGCCTCTGCCCACCCGGTCTGCCTGATCCAGAGGGATGGCTGGTGACAAGGGGGGAGGTCTTGGGAGAGAGGCAGGGAAGCAGGACACTCCCCCAGGGCTCCCCAGTTAACACTGAAGCGGGTGAGGGTGGGCGGACACACACTCAGGAAACAGAAAATAAAGTTAAATAAAACCAGGCAGCCTGGTCTTGGGCCTGTTCGGGCCCTGGGACCAGCCATGCGACCTTCCAGCAATCCCCAGAGGCCCCCACAGCTGGACCCAGGGGAGGAGGAAAGGGCCAGGCATATTGGCACTGCCCTCACCCCCCCCTCCCCCAGCCAGCAGACCCCCACCCCTGACACAGAGGCCAACAGGCCAGAGAAGGTGGCCTTGCCCCTGGGAGCAGAGAAACCATGACGTCTATGACTTTAAACATGCGGCATTTTGTGAATATCGTAACAGGAGTCAACAGGCTAGGTGAGAGGAGAGCAATGACGCCTGTGCGGCCTCTGCCAGGGCCAGCCAGCTTCCACGCCTTTTGTGTTGTTATTTTGTGGTTTTACGGGGTTTTTTTTTTCTTGTCCACTTGATTTGCATGCAACACCCACAAAAACAAAATACCCCCTCCTGCTCTGGCCACCCCAGCGGGCTCCAGGGGCACCCTGGCCTGGGCCCCCAGTGCACACCCGATTTTTCCCAGTCCCGGGTCTCATCGGAGGCTGGGCCAGGTGTGCGTGAGTAGAGGGACAGCCAGGGGCATGACGGAGGGTGATGGCCTCACACCCCACCCTCAGCCCAGCCCCTGCCGGGGCCTGTCACCCGTCCTCGAACCCCCACATCCACTCTCTGCCCTCGATCCCTGACTCCTTCCAGACCCCTCCCTTGGCCCATGGCCCTGCTCTGTCACCAAGTCCCTCTGGTCACCTGCTCTGCCCCAAGCCCACCTTCCCTGAAGGCCATCTTGTGTGGCCAGGGCCCCGCAGACCCCACTGCACCCCGAGGTCTTCACCCCCAAGCTGTGGCCCCAGAGCAGCAGCCCCAGCCCCCCAGTGCCCGACGGAGGTTGGGGGCCCCACCACAAGCAGCTAAACGTGACTTTGGTAAAAGTTTCTGAAGGTACCGACAAACCCCTTGAAAACAAGCTCTCCTCCACCCCCACCCCAAACACCCCACCAAGTACAATAAAATACAATAAACTCCAAAAAGGACCCCCTGAGATCAAAGAGAAAAAGAGAGTGCAGCCCTGTCCAGCCGCAGTCCAAATGCCCACACCGCCTTTCTGGGGGCCACTGACTCATTGCTCCATGGGAGACCTAGGCAGACCCAGGGGTCCCGTCGGGAGGGGACTGGGCCCAAGCTCAGGCCAGAAGAGAGACAGAGGCAGGAAGGGTGACGGGAGAGCCAGACAGGGACAGAGAGGTAGAGCAGGGGACAGAGGGCAACAGAGGGGGAATGGGCGTGTGAGGGTGGTGGAGGGCATGGCACGCTGGGAGTTTGGTGGCTGCAGGACTTGGGGGCTCTCTCCTGGCCCCTGGGGGCCGCCGTGGCCCAGAGGCTGCAGCTGAATGCACAGCGACTCTGCTCGCGGCCTGCTGTCTTCCGTTCACAGTGTCTGTCGGGGGACGCACGTGGCCGGCTGACCCCAGGGCGGGAAGCGGATGGGCACCCCCCACTCTCTGTCCTCAGCCCTCAGTGGCCGTCCAGGTCCCAGGTCTCCCCTCGAGGGCAGCTGGGTGGCCGGGTGGGGAAGGGGGCCTTTGGCCATGCCCCTGGCCCCCTGTGGGGCTGGCCGATGCCACACGGCTACCTGAAGAAGGGCAGGTGCGGCTGGCTCAGGACGCTGCTAGTCCGCGGTGACTCAGTCTTCGCCATGACATCCTTGAACCAGGACGCCACGTCCACCTCCAGCGTCTCATAGCGCTTGATGAAGCTGTGTTCCTGTGGGCCCGATGTGGTGGGGCTTAGGACGGGGGTCTTCCCTCCTGGCCTCAAGCCTCCAAGGGACAGGGATGGGACTGGGACTGGGAGGGCCACAGGTACTCACAAGTAGCTTATTATACTTTGGTCTCTTCCTGTGATCTTTAGTAAGGCTACAGGAAGAAAAAACAGATGTGAGAGCTAGGGAGGAGGGGATGGTGGGCAACACCCCCCCCACCGTGCCTATGCTCAGGTCCTCCCTGAAGAGCCAGGGGTCCCCAAGATCTGTGTGGGGAAGGAGCTGCAGATGTCCTCAGGACCCCTGCTGACAGCTGGGAGCAACTGTGTGTTTCTGAGCCTTGTGGCCTAGGTCAGGTGGCAAGGGCCTGGCTTGGGGAGCCAGAACTGGCTGAGGTCCCCTAGAGAGGCAGGTGGGGCTCCCCTGAGAAAAGCAGACATGGAGCTCCTGCACTTGTAGCTGTGCTTAAAGAAGGGTGCTCATGACTTCCCAAGGCCACCCTGCCAAACAAATGCCACAGGGCTGGCTGTCCCCTTGGGCCAGCTCCAAACTCAACTCGGGGCTCCCTGGGCACCAGCACCAGCTCCTGTCTGGAGCTGCCAGCCATGAGCCTGCCCGCAGCCGCACCCACTCCATCCCAGTGTGGGGCCTCCATTCCCCTCCCGCCCTGGCCTCCCCAGCTGCCCAGGGCGGCGGGCTGCCCCTGACCTCCCAGAGGGGAGATCCTCACCAGTCTTTGACGAAGGACTGAAAGTCCCCTGAGAAGCCCATGTGTCCAGGCAGAAGCGGGGGCTCCTCCTGCAGGACTTTGGTGAGGACCTCAAAGTCCGTCTTGCAGTTCTTGTAGGGAAACTGTCCCGTTGCCAGCTCCACCTGTGAGGGAGACGGGCAAGGCTGGACCAGCTGGGACAGGTTTGTGTTCTCCCTCTGAATCCCACAGAAGCCGTCGTCCCTGGCTGGAGGCAGGGGCAGAGCACTAACTCACCAATGAGATGCCCAGGCTCCACACGTCCGCCCGGATGTCATAGTCCGGCTTGGTGGGGTCTGGGGGGTCAATGCGCTCAGGCTGCAAGGGGAGGAGGGGACGATGTACCTCCAAGGCTGGGGCCGGCCTCCCAGCACCCACCCCTCCCCTGCTGGAGGGCCCCCACTCACAGCCATGTAGGCAGCACAGCCTGCGCTCCGAGTCTTGGCTTTGGAGTCCACCAGGCGGCCGCTGATGCCGAAGTCGCAGAGCTTGATCTGACCCCGCTCATCCAGCAGGATGTTGGAGGGCTTGACGTCGCGGTGGATGACACCGTGCTTCTCCTTCAGGTAGAACAGCGCCTTCACAATCTGCAGGTGAGCAGGGGAGGGGGTGTGTGACGGGCGGGGGCACGGTCCAAGGCCACCCGCCCAGCACATGCCCCGCCTGGCTGCTCACCGCCACTGTCATCTTGCCCAGGATGCGCTCGGGGATGGGGCCCTGCATCCGCTTCTTGAGCTTCTCAGCACAGGTGCCCATGAGCTCCATGGCAATGAAGACGTCTGTCTGCAGGAAGGGGGCACGCAGGGGAGCTGTGTCTTCCAGCCCTCCCCCCAGAAGCTCTGCTCCCAGGGAAGGGACAACGGGTGAGAGAGGTGGAGACCCTGCACGTGGGGGGCAGGGGGCGCCTGGCATGGCAGGGAACTCACGTTGGTGATGAAGGTGCCGAAGCACTGCACGATGTAGGGGCAGTCATGGCTCTTG